ATGGAAGTAGATTGCCCAACCTTCCTTCCGAGGAGTGGCTGGTGGGTTTGAACCACCAGCCTTCTGGTTAGTAGTCAAATGCCTGAGGCACTACACCACCAGAGCTCCCTGGTGGATGACATGGGAACAACAACAAAAAAAGACTGAGAAACACTGCTCTAAGCAATCTCTTCAGCTCTTAGGCAGTAAGATTTTATTAAGAAAGTTGTCCATCTTAGAAACAAAAAAAAAGTGAAGTCTAGAGTCGAATACATAAGGAAAATAATATGGGACTTCGAGTTCAACAAGAGAGGGTCTGAACAGTTCTGGCCTATGTGGTGTGACCTTGGAAAATAAAGACCCTGACCCATGTTTTTAATCTAAACGTGGGGAAAATACACCTTCCTCATAGAAGTGTGAAGATTAAATGACATAAGGCATATGAGGATGAAGTGCCTAGCATCTGAGCAGTGATCCACAAATGTAACTCATCATCATTCAAAAGAAGAAGAATTAGGTATTCGTATTTAAAGAGAGACCACAGGCTCTGGCCCTGCCAAGGCAACCTCAAATGCACAACACCAATCAATTATGTGTCAGTACTTAAAAGGACATTCAATATATAGTCAGAACGACCATAAAGTAATAAAAGTTGTGTATATTAGTCATTCAAAAGATTGCACTAAAATTACAATTTAATGTTTTCCAGCCCTTCATATCAGCTAGATACTATTCTGAATCACTTAACCTGTATCATCTCACTTTATCCTCATCACACTTCTATGTGGGAAGTTTCATTTTCTCCATTTCATGGACAAGAATCAGCATAGTAAGCACCCAATAAATATTGCTGAATCAGATGGACTAGAAGCTAATCAAGAAGCTCACAGTTAAGTGAGTAGGGAATACATATATAGTTATTATATGTCGTCAAGTTGATTCCAACCCTATATGACAAAGTAGGGCTCCCTCATTTCCTAGGTTGTCAGTTCTACTCTGTCATATAGGGTCACTATGAGTTGCAATCGACTTGATGGAACACAATGACAGTCTTTACAAGAGCAGATCACCAGGTCTTTCCTCCCACAGAGCTGCTGGGGGGTTCAAACTGCTTTTCAGTTAGCAGCTGACCACTTAACCACTGCTTTACCAGAGCTCCTTTTGTATAAATTAGAAATACTTTGAAGAAACAAATACAAATGAAAAAATGGAAAGGGGGCAAACAAAAGCTGAAAGGATGTGGGCTATATCCTGATTAGAGTCAGCCAGGGTCAACTGATAAATTTCAAAATGAGATTTGATGGTGGGGAGGAATTGACAGAATGGCAAGGGGAGAATGACATGCAGACACAAGGAAATAAGCGGCAGTTAAGAAATGCTGAACTTCCTTTTCTGGAGAGTCTGAAGCAAGAGAAGGGCCTTGAAGTCTATGTTCAACAGCACATTCATTCATTTGTTAAATGAGCACTCAGAAAAACAGATCATTAGTTACACTACAAGAGGAAAGAAACCTCAAGGTAGGATGAACCATCAGCAGACAGGAGTTCTTACAAACATAGTGATATTGGCCCCCTCTGGCTAGAAGCTCCAGGAGACTGAGGTTAAGCTGCTGTTCAAGTCAGTAGACCTGAACTTGCACGTCAACTTCCCTTGGGTTCCGACTGCCATGAAGATTTCTTTTGGTGTATATACTTCCAAGGCTGATACTCCAGCTGTCACTGGAGAGAGAGGAATGAGGAAAGCTTAGGTAGGATTACGTATGAATGTCACTGTGCATATTTATCAGAGAAGAGGGCAAAAGAAAGCTACAAGATATTATAAGATATAACCAATCATCTACTACTATTTTCACTGGACATTTGTAGCAGGTGCTACATACAAGTAGGATAACTGCTGATGGTCTGTTTTTAATGATGTGCAGGCCACATTCTTACTTCTTAAAAGTTCTCATATCCACTTGCTCCATTTCAATTGTTATTACACTGAAGTTTTCTCATTTTCCATATTTAAAGCAATTAAAATTATTCTAAGTAAGATATCACTTCATTTTAAAGCCAGTTTGTTATTTAGCAGATTCTTTTCCTATAAAGCATTTAATGCTATACACAATACATTTTGTTTTGCTAGTGAAATCTTACCTACCATAGATTTCGGTGTGCCAGGTACAAAAACCAAAAAAAACAAACTCACTGCCATCGAGTCAGTCCTGACTCATAGCGACCCCTCCTTGGGTTTCCAAGGCAGTACATCTTTACAGAAGTAGATTGCCCCATCTTCCTTCCAAAGAGTGGTTGGTGGGTTTAAACCGCCAGCCTTCTGGTTAGCAGTCAAATGCCTTAGGCACTATGCCACCATAGCTCCTTGCCAGGTACAAGTGTACTACAAAAATAGCTGACCACACTGTGTCACATCTATCATTTCACCCAAGGAGATTTTTTCATTTAGACTCAGCCCAGGAAATAATAATTAAAAGGTGTCTATCACATAAGAATGGAGGCCTGGTGTCACAGTGGTTAAGTACTCAGCTGCTAACCAATAGGTTGGCAGTTCAAACCCCTCAGATGCTCCATGGGAGAAAGATGTGGCAATCTGTTTCCATACAGATGATAGGTTGGAAACCCTATGTGACAGTTCTTCTCTGTCCTGTAGGGTCACTAAGAGTCAGAACTAATTCTACTGCAGTGGGTTTGGTTTTGGTTTATCACTTAGGATATAAAAAACAGCTCTTTTTTCAAGATCTGTAATCAGAAGCAGGGAGCTCTAATGGTGCAGTGGTTAAGGCATTTGGCTGTTAACCAAAAGGTCACCAGTTCAAACCCACAAGCCTCTCCATGGGAGAAAGATGAGGCAGTCTGCATCTGTAAAGATTTATAGCCCTAGAAACACAATGGGACAGTTCTACTCTGTCCTATAGGGTTGTTATGAGTTGGAATCAACTCTATGGCACTGGGTTTGGTTTTGGAATCAGAATAAGTGGGAGAATTATTAAAGACTGCTGCTAAATTAAATAGTCTTCACTCAAAAAGATACAATTTCATGGACTAATTCAAAGCTAGAAAGAAACTTATCTGGCTTAAAATTGGAAACAATGAAAGCCCATACCAACAAGATTAAAATCGCTTATTTTCAAAGTAAGGTGTTTGTTAAAGAAATAGTTTAGAGAGAGTAAATATCTGCACTGTTCCTATTATTCTTAGAGTGTAACTGATGGGCAGAATAAAGAAGGATATTGTCACCAGGGATTGATGGTCAAATCACATTTTTTTTTTTTCTCTAGGGTTTAACTGTGATTCTAGGAAAAAAAGAACAAGTGTACTCCACATGCCTCCTAACTATCTTCCAAATGTTTATTCTCAGGGCACAATGGGGACTTTTGGCTATTATTTTAAATAAACTGATAGCACACTGTATCAGGCAGATTTTTTCTGCTGAAGAGGGTGGATTATTATTATAGGGAACAATGGATTATTATTTGTGGTCCGTATCTCAAAACAAGCCCTTCTTTAAAAACAAGAAGCAGACAAAAGACATTCCTTGCTATTGCAGGTAGGCAGAAAAACAGCCCTGAGCTACTTGAGCTCAAAATGAGGGGTGAAGCACCAGCCTGGACACTTTGACCAACTTATTCCAGGAAGTAGTGCTTGTTTATAATCTTTATTAATTGTGTGATTTTAATTAGTTTTTTCCACACTCATGAGCAGCAAAAGGAAAGCCATGGTCTGTAAATGTCAGTATAAATAAGATTTCTTGAGGATTTCAGCAAACCAGATCCCTACCATAGGCCTGGTTGCAAAAGCTGTTACTCTGAGATGTTATTTTATGATGGAACTAGGCCAAGTGTCAAAGTTACAGTCACAAAATTTTAAACAAAAGAGTGACCAAATTCTAAATGGCTTTTAGACCATCTATTCAAGACAGACTCAGAAGGAAGGTTGGGCAATCTACTTCCATAGTCATACTGCTTCGGAAACCCAAGGAGGGGTCACTATGAGTCGGTTGAGCTAGCTACACCAAAGCTGGCTAATAAACAAATGTTTCTTGTTTCTTAATACTCCTTCCCCTTTTGGCTAATCTGAACATGTAGCTCTTAAAACCAGTATTATGAGTTCCAACTCCAGCTAGTCAGCTGCTTTCAAAAATAAAATGACTCCATTCATAGCTAGTTAATTTCCTCTCATTTCTGGCTCTCTATTCTTCTCTTCAACACTACTCATCATAATTCTTGGTGACTCCATTAGCCATAAAAGGAGTCTTCCCAAACCCTGGTCTCTTTGTTTATCTTTTCTTCTTCAACAATCTTATCCTCAATTCTACCTCATCCACTACTCCCATGGTCATATACAAACTCAATCAGGACTTCCCAAGCTCAGCACTAGTGACATTTCAGTTAGAAACAGGTACTCCTTGTTTTTTGAAAGTTGGCTTTATGCCATAAAAGATCTACATTAGAAAGTCCTACATTAGTACCCATTTTCATGAAAAGCAAAGAGGATTTTGCATTTACGAAAAAAAAGCAAAACTAGCACTCAACGTGCAGTGAGCTGTTAGAGGCAGTGTGCAGCCTGAGCAGTGAAAGTGGCGTCGCCAAGCTCCTTCCCTGGAAACTGTACTCAGCATCTCAGCATCATGGCACCGTATCTTTGAACTGTGCCTGTGAACACTATATGTTAGTGTTATTTTAGATTTTATGTGTTAATTTGATATGATTTGGTAGGTTACCTTTTGGGTTTGGGAACACTCAAAAATGTTTCCCATATAAATTATTGGTGATTGCTTCTTCACTTTATGCCATTTTGGCTTACATAAGCCTTCACAAGAATGCTCTACTTTCAGATGGTGGGGAAAACGTGTTATTCTTTCTTGTGTGGTGCTATCCCATGCTTTGTAGGGTATTTAGCGGCATCCCTGACTGCTAACCAGTAGCACCTCTTCTCCAGTTTTGACAACCAAAAACGTCTCCAGACATTGCCAAATGTTCTTAGGGTGGGGAGGGATCACCTTTGGTTGAGAATCATTGCCCTAGATCCTGTCATTATCAATATTTGCACCCTCCCCACAAACTCAATTTCAAACTTCCTCATTCTCTGATCAATCATGTCCTATCCTTTTAGCTCAGTCCCTCCAATACCCTGACATCATCAATTTTCTAGATCTATCAGCACCTAAAATCCATTGATCCTCTAACCTTTTTACTGGCTGTCTCTCGTCATCAGCGGGTCTTCATTCACATTCTTACCCAGATTAGATCCCATCATTAGATCCATCATTATAATCACTCCTTTGCAGATACAATTTTGCCCCTTGTCCCTCTCTTCTTTCAGTCTGTTAACCTGGCCAAATCTCAATCCTGGTTAAATCCTATTCTCCTCCTAGTCTGCATCTATACTAGAGTGGCTAGAGAAAAATACACAATCCCACTGACCGGTTTTGCCTTACATTCACGACTACTGGCCTCAAGGGAGCTCTTAATGCTACTGGACAATCCTTCTACATTTTTCTAGTCCATTCACTTTCCACTTTCATAGAAGCCCATTTTATACCTTTCTCCTCTCTCAAATCTCCACCTCCTTCCCCTCCTTGCCCTGTGCTTCTATTTCACTTAGGAAATGGACACAAATCACAAAAGAACATGTCCCTACCACACCTTCCTGTATCTGTACCCTTATACTTTGCCTTTCCTCCTTTTACTATGTAGGGAATGTCTGTACTCCTTTCCAAGTTCAACTCCTCTCTCTGCACTGGACCTCATTGTCTCTTGCCAAAGTGTGCACTGATCCAGCCATTTTCCTTCTCGCTCCTATACAGTTTTTCATTCTCTACTGAATTACTGCTATCAGCCCTATAAATACATATATTTATATCCCAGCTTAAGGAAAAAAAAAAAATGTTGACCTCTGTAGAGTAAACACTGTACTAAAGATGGTGGTGGTCCTGACAAGACACTGCAGGGGCTTGTGGGGCTGTCCTGTTTTGACCATTGTTTTTGTGGACATGCAGGGCTATAAGCCAAGACTTGAAACATCCCCAAGAGATTTACAACAGCACCTGGACTCAGAGCTCTGCTTCCTGGAACACAGGTGTTCAGGAATGGGAGTCGAGGGTCATGTGAGCCTTGACAATGAGCCTCTTTTGTGTACTCCAATATATAACTGGCCTGTAGCTTCAGAGCAGCGTGGTTCTCTCTTCTTGTTCATCCAGCCTGCCACCCCTAGACTCCCTGTACATACCAAAAAAAAAACAAAAACAAACTCACTGCCATTGAGTCGATTCCAACTCATAGTGACCTTTGGGTTTCCAAGGCAGTAAATCTTTACAGAAGTAGATTGCCCAGTCTTCCTTCCACAGAGTGGCTGGTGGGTACATAAGTCCCAATAAATGCATGTCTCAGAGCATGGCTCCAGGTCATTTCTTTGGTGTCTCAGTCCTTAGTGCAAGTACAGCCCTGAACTTGCTAGGGATCTCCCCTTACAACCTTTCATCTCACAGCTATGGCTTTCTGCTCTCCTTTTCTTTACAAATCTTGAGAGAATAGTCTGTACTCACTACATCCAATTTCTCTCCTCCTATTTGCTTTTGAATAAACCTAATTTCAGGCTTTCATTCCCACTACCCCACTGAAACTTTTCTTGTTAACAAATCCAGTGGCCTGCATGTACTAAGTCAATGGCTTATTTTCAAATATCATCTTATTAGCTCACTTGCAACATATGATACATTTGATTATTCTTTCCTTGAAACTACCCCCCCCCCACACACACACACACCATTTTGGCTTCTGCAACACCACTCTCTCTTGATTCTCATCTCACTGCCTATTCCTTCCCAGTCTTGTCTCCTGGTTCTCTTGGCCTCTATGTTAGACTGCCCCAGAATCATTCTTCTGTCCCCTTCACTATGTAATATTCATTTCCTTGGTGACCTCATCTAGTTTCTAGTTTCAATGCTTTATATACTTCACACACACACACAACTGTAAACACACACATAACTGTACACACACACACACAACTGTCTATTCAACATCTTCATTTGGGTCATTCAAGCATCTCAAATTTAGTATGTCCTAACTTAACATATAAAAATGTTCCCACCAACAAACCTACCCTTCCATGGTCTTCTTCATCTCAGTAAATGGCACCTTTAGTTTTCCAGTTGCTGAGCTAAAACCCTGAAATCCTTTCTGACTCCTCTCTTTCTTACAGTGTACTTCCAAACCACCAGCAAACTGTCAATTGAATCTACTTAAAAATAGAAATTATTATCTCACTGTCTCTTTTAGTGCTACCATCTTGGTCCAAACTACCATCACCTTGGATTACTGCCATTTTATACCTTTCACATGTCTCCACCAAACCTATCCAACTCCCTGCATCTGTGACCCTACACTTTGCCATATAGTAACAGGTTTCAGTGGAGCTTCAAGACTAAAATAGACTAGGAATAAGGACATGGCCAGGTCCACTTCTGAAAAAAATCAGCCACTGAAAACCTTAGGGAAACACTATCTGATAGTGCTGGAAAATGAGCCCCTCAGGTTGGAAGGTACTCAAAATAGGACTAGGGAAGAGCTGCCTCCCCAAAGTAGAGTTGACCTGAATGATAAGCATGGAGTAAAGCTTTCGGGACCTTCATTTGCTGATGTGGCAGGACTCAAAATGAGAAGAAACAGCTGCAAACATCCATTAATAAATAAAAGATAGAATACATGAAGTATTAAAAAAAAAAAAAAAAAAAAAAAACTCACTGCCGTCAAGTTGGTTCCAACTCATAGCAACCCCCATTTGGGTTTCTGAGGTGGTATCTCTACAGAGGTAGATTGCCCAATTTTCCTTCCAAGGAGTGGCTGGTGGGTTTGAACTGCCAGCCTTCTGGTTAGCAATCAAATGCGTTAGGCACTACATCACCAGAACTGATTTAAATCTAGGAAAATTGGAAGTTGTCAAAAATGGAATGGAATGCATAAAGATCAATATCCTAGGTATTAAAAACAAACTCACTGACGTCAAGTTGGAGCTGACTCATAGCAACCCCTCCTTGGGTTTTGAAGGTGGTATCACTGTGGAAGTAGATTACCCAATCTTCCTTCTGAGGAGTGGCTGGTGGGTTTGAACTGTTAGCTTTCTGGTCAGCAGTCAAATACCTTAGGGGCTGGTATTGGCCACTTGGAATCAGACAATAATATGGTCTATTATGCTGGCAATGACAAATTAAAGAGGAATGGTGTTGCATTGAAAGTGAAAAAGAACATCTCAAGATCTATCCTGAAATGAAATGCTGTCAGAGATAGGATAATATCCATATACATATAAGGAAGACCAGTTAATATGACTATTATTCAAATTTATGC